GAAGAATGGACAGCTCACCAGAAGCACTAACAATGAAGCTAATGCTTAAATATGTTGGGCACATAATGTAAAGGCAAGAGCCACTGGGAACACTGGGGAAAACCCTGATGCTTTGAAAATTGAAAGGCAATTGAAAAAGAGGCTGACAGAAGACAAGGTGGCTGGATATTATCATTGATTACATAAGCATTGGGCATACGAGAACTACTGAGAGAGAGTTGTGGCAAAAGGATGTCTACTGATCACAAACAATCAGCAAGCAATTGATTGAATGAATAGTTCTAGCTAAAAAGGAGGCAAGAACAAACTTTATATTAAAAATAAAAACCTGAACAAATCAAAATACTGTGGTAAGATTTGCTCATTCCTTACTATGCATGGAAGAGTTCTCCATAGGCATAATCTACACACGTGGTTCTACCTATGGTAGAACGAATATATTAGGACCCCCATTGACAAAGACTTAGCTTAGTAGGATAACTGAAAACTATTAGAGATCTTTTAAGATATTGTTTTATATGGATGAGTAATGCTGTAGCAGAAAGCTAAGGCTTTCTTCAGAAATAGAAGGCATTTTGGAAATTTAGATATTGTTTAAGAAGTGGGTGACTTCCAGGACCTCTCTGTTTTGAGGCCAGACTTACTCTTCACTCTCCATTGCCACCATATTTAGGTGACCCTTAAAATTATGTTCTTTTGGATGTAATTACTGAAATGATGTCAAATGTTTGACAAAATGGATCACAAGTGAAGCTTCATGGAGACTCAGAATCAGAATGAAGACAAAATTGGTCTTCTCTACCCAGAGTAAATGAACATGTTTATAAATTATTCTAGACTTTCTCAGATTCCTTGGGAATAAGATGAATCAGTTTTACAGGTTTACAGGTTTTACTGAAAGATTTTTAAAATCCTCCTTTATTTATTCTGTTTACAGAGCAGAATATTTCCCAGCACAATAATCAACACTCACACACGCGCATGTACAGAGATGCATTTACCTTACAGTCCACTCCAGTCCTTACCTAATTTTCCCAAATCTTTAAGTGTGAAATTATAAATGAATCTTAATCGATACCAATTCCGCAAAGTGTGGTGTACAACTTAATTTATACATAAAATTCTAATTTTCCAGAAAGAACCCAAGCAGAAACACAGAATAGGTGTTCCTTTATTGTTACATTTACATTTTACTAAAACCCTTCATGGCTATGGACATGACTAATTATCTCATCAGTTCCTCCCCAGCTAAGACACTTCAGTAACCAAAGTTTCATTAGAACGAGCTGAACTTTTCTCAGTATCTCATGTAGAATTTTCCAATGTGTTCATAATTATCATCATATATGATGCCTGTAAACTGGATGGTTTTTTAAATAGATTTTACCTCATTAAAAAAATGCAAAGTTTCAAGAGAGTTATACAGCTACACTGGGTAATATCTGAAGTAAATGTAGACAAATCTGGGCAAACTGATACTCTTCCTGCATTAATATCTTTCTGTTCTGGGCATCTCACACTGCCAGCAAGGGAAAAAATGATTTTTTACATCTTTTCTGTAGGTGGGGCTTTTTTTGGCATCTTAGAGTAGATAGCATTAGATAAATGGAGCATAACTTAGCAATACATTCATGCTATCTGCACTTACCACAGATTATTTTTTTGCCCAAGGTATGCTTCCAAATCCTCATTATTTTTTAAAGTCATATTCTATACTTATCCCCTTTTCAAAAAAATATGTTTCTATTAGAGATTCTCTGTTGCTTCATTTTAAAAATTATTTTGAAATTATTCTGCCTGTAAACAGATTAGTTTATAGTTCTTTTCTCTCTCCCTCAAACATTTTAATAAATAAAATAACAAAAGGAACAAATGAAAAACCACTGCAAACCAAAACTAAACCTTGATGTAAATTGTCCATAGTTTGTATCAAGGTTTTCTCCCCTCCATGTTTTAGTAACTTAGCATTTACTATTTATTATATTGATTTATACAGCTACCTATCTCACTGTTGCAAGTCTGAGTAATGAATATTGGAGTAAAGCCAACAAAGAACAATCAATCAATAACAGTAAGTTATTACACTTAGTAAGTGTACAGTAAGTAAATAACAACAACAGCAGCACAATAATAGCATAAAGGCACCCAAGGACATTCCAACCTAATCCCCATAACCACAATGTTAAGAAAAATCACATTCAGAAACTCCCCAATATCCAGATACCATATCTGAAGCAATCTAGATTTTGAAGGAGTCCAGAAAATGCTAAAAGTAAAATGCAGGAGTTGTGTGAATACTAATATTAGGTCGATGCAAATATGCAAAGTCTTCAAAAGTGATGCTTCAGAACCTATATGATGCTCCATTTCATAAATCATTAAAGCAACTGCATCTTTTCCTAAACTTGTGCAGGTTTTGTTAGCTTCTTCCAGCAGTCGTTTCCTGCCTGCACAGCCACTTCCCTTCACCAGGTGAATTAATCTAAATTTAAGTGTAACTGAGCTTTTGTTAAATACATGGTGATTCCTTGTGCATTTCCTTGTTTCCCCCAGGCACAGGCAAGATAAGTGCAGTCTAACAGCATTAGAGGAGGATGCCTGTCTTGGCCAATGTTGAGCTACTCCTATTGCTCACAAGTCACCAACCAAATTAGAGCAAGGGAGACATACACAGTATAATTATGTTAGGAGGAATATATTGACAATTGATATGACAGTACCAATTCTGAGTGTGAAAATATTTTACAAAACTGCTCTGACCAGGTCTTTTGTTTGCATTAAACACATTTAAATAAATGAAAAAAGTACATAAAGATTTGAAGCCAAGATTTTCACTTTTCTGTTGAGCAATTTGAACCACTTCCTTTCCCAACATGACCTGATAATCTACAGTATATCAGACCTAATATTTGCGTAGATTCTCATATGACAGTAGCTANTCCAAACTAAACATCTGACTGGCTGTGTAACGAATTGTAATATTAAAAACTTGTCAGATGAATGAATTGACTAAATAGAAACTATCACAAAGGAATGTTTCATGCAGGAATAGAATAGTAACATTGTTCTGTTCCAGATCCCTTCATGGATTGTTACCGTGTGTACAGCACACCGAAGCTGTGATCTATACCATTGGGAATCAGAAGAGTCAGTCTTGATAGGGACATTATAGTTGACTAAATATAATCCTCAGGAGAAAGCAATGGTAATCCAACTCAGTAGTTTACCAAGAAAACAAAATGAACTTTCTTAAGCAGGATAACGTCAGTGTGACTCTGTAAATTAATCCTCCCCTCCACTACATTAGAAAAATCACTAATAATTCTAGAAGGTAAAGAGCAAGTCTGAGTAGCATTGCTGCTTATGATGTGGTTGGTTTAAAGCTGAAAGAATGCCATGCTGTTAATATGGCCAGAGGCAAAAGGAAAGTTTGACGCAGGAAGTATATGTACTCCATTGATTCATCGAATGTGAACACGAACCAAGGCAAAGTTGGTGACAGAGCAGAAATGTCAAGATTGAATGCTGACATTCTGGAAATCCGGGAACTAGGTCACTTCACAGTATGAGCTCTACTACAGCCAATGCAATTTGGGAAGAAATGGGGTAGCTATCCTTATTAATAAAAGGGTGTCAAAATCAATGCTCAATTATGTCAATTCAAATCCAAGGCAAGTCAGTCAATATTTTGGTGATCCAATTCTATGCTCTGATCATGGATCCTGGGGAAACTGAACAGTTCTGCAACAACTTGCAATACCTTTTATACCAACACTTTAAAATAATGTCACGCTGATTATAGGAAACTGGAACACTAAAGTTGGAAGTAAAATAGCACCAGCAATAATGGGGGGGAAATGTATAAAATGAAGGAGTAGAGTAGACAGACCTAATAGTTTTCTGAGAAAAATGATCTTTTATATCAAAAACTCTTCTCTAACAATCTAAAATACATGGACATTGCAATTTGACAGTACTGAAATCAAAGTCACTGTAAATTCTGTAAGCAAAGGTGAAGAAGTTTTATTTAGTCAGCAAAGCCAGATTTCTGATGCTGCCTGCAAGTCAAATTTGTTTCATCTAACATTTATTTATTTATCAAATGTATATGGCCACCCATCTCAGAATAAGTCACTCTAGGCAGCATAGAACAATAAAGTAGAGCAATAAATATATTAAAATATTTTATATTAATTTAATAGTTTATATTAAAATATAAAAACAATGATTAAAATGAAGAAAATAAACCACAGGTGAGGGTGATTGTTAACTGCAAAAGTGGAGCCATCTTACATGTCACCACCACCCCTGGAGCCCCTGATGACAAAGCCAGTTCTTGAGAGACTTCCAGAAAAGAAACGGGTGGAGCAAGCTTCTCTAGGGGTGGGGGAGAGAAAATCTCATATAGCATGAGCTACAGCAGGGAAGGCCCACCTCCTAGGACCTGTCAAATGTAAGTCATACAGGAACCAGAGATGCACTTTCTGCTAGATCTAATGGGATCAATCAATCAATCAGAGTAGAGTTGGAAGGCACCTTGGAGATCTACTAGTCCAACCCCCTGATCAAGCAGGAGATCCTTTTCTATTTCAGCAAGTGACTGTCCAGTCTCTTCTTAAAATACCTCCAGTGATGAAGCACCTACAAAACTGGATGCAGTATTCCAGGTGTGGTCTTACTAGGGCTTTATAAAGTGGTACTAATACTTCACATAATTTTGAATCTCTGCCTCTGTTTATACAATCAATACTGCCGCATACTGCTGACTCATGTATAAGATCATCCACTAGGACTCCAAGGT